CAGGTACTTTGTGATTTATCTGGTTTTGCTGCAGCATATCTGGATGACATTGTCATTTACAGCTCCACCTGGGAGGAGCACATGGAACATCTGCACACTGCCTTGGATCGCCTCTACTCTGCGGGGCTGACTATCAATCCATCGAAGTGCGTCTTTGCCGCTGCAGAGACGGAGTACCTGGGCCATATCATTGGACGCGGTGTGATACGGCCGCGGGTCAGCAAGATTCAGGCCATCGAGTCATGTCCTGTGCCACAAACAAGGAAGCAGCTCCGATCTTTTCTGGGCATGACAGGCTTCTACCACCGCTTTGTACCACAATTCTCTGCCAGGGCAGCTCTACTCACAGACCAGACTGGATCCCGGTCTTCAAATCAGATACAGTGGACAGAGGAGTCCATGGCAGCTTTTCACGACATCCAGGGATCATTGAGTAAGAAACCTGTTCTTTACAGTCCAAACTTTGATGAACATTTTATCTTGCAAACGGATGCTTCTGATAGGGGTCTGGGCGCTGTGCTTCTCCAGGGGTCATCAGACAACCGCCATCCAGTGGGCTACATCAGCCGGAAACTGTTCCCCAGGGAGGTCAGGTATTCAACCGTGGAAAAGGAGGCACTGGCTATCAAATGGGCCCTCGACTCTCTCCGGTATTACCTCCTGGGTAGAGAATTCACCCTGGAGACTGATCATAAAGCGCTTCAGTGGATGGGAAGGATGAAGTATACCAATGGAAGGATTACCCGGTGGTACCTGGCACTGCAACCATTCCGCTTCAACATTCAGCACATCCCAGGCAAGGACAACGTCACAGCGCTGTTTCAGCGAGAGTCTTGAAGGGGGGGAGTGTGTGATGGCCCCAGCCACACAGGGTAAACCAACTACACTGCATCCTCATCTTCAGTGCAGCTACAATAAAACATGCCAATTAACACCACACATTTGCTTTGAATGGTAAACTCTTTATTTGATTGTAATCTGACATTACTTCAAACAGTTTAGCACAGCTAATACAAGTATTTGTTTGTATTAATTACTTTCTTTGTCTCTTGAGTTACCATGTCCATTGGGGGAGGTTACTTCCTGGTTCATCAAAGGGCGTGGCTGAGCGCTGAGGACTCATAAATACTGCAAGGAGCCAATTGGGACAGATTGGGACAAACCACCTGCTTCCATGTTAAAGGGGGGATTTGGGTTTTGTCAGTGTCCTTTGTGTATGATGGGACTATTAATTATCCCTTGGGTTCAACTTGGTTTGGCCAAGCCACTATATAGGTTCCTTGGTTTTTCATTGTGGGAGGTCAGTTTTGTTGAGTTAACACCTGTTATGTTTCTTTGAGGTATTTTCTGTTGACCTCTTTTATAGGCCTAGTTATTGCATGATGTTTTTTGTGGACTTTTGGGTAAATAAAAACCCTAGTTTATTTAAACCACTCCTGTGCCCTGTTGCCTTACTGGTCCCTGACAGTGAGATCAAAGCGTGGGGAAGCAGCTTTCTGCATTCATGCTCCTAATGCATGGAACAGACTCCCAGAACATCTGAGAATGGCTAGCACTTTGGAATAATTTAAATTAGGTCTAAAAACATTTCTTTTTAACATGGCTTTTTAATTTTCTATTTTTTGAACTGTTAAACATGGTTTTCTTTCTTTTAATTGTTTTGTGTGATTTTGTATTTCTTCTCACTTTGACCATATTAAAATGTATTGTGTTTTTATCTGTTTGATCCTGTAAAGCACTTTGAATTGCATCACTGTATGAATTGTGCTATACAAATAAATTGCCTTGCCTTAAAACAACATCTTCAGAAACATTGCAGTTTATGCTGCCGAAATGATTGTCTTGGAACTAAATCCAAATTGGGAGGCAGCATTTTGCTAAGCAGGTGGTTTATTTCACGGAAATTATAATGCATGGGCATTAGTGTTCAACTCAAGCCTCCATGGGCTGCTGCATGTTTCAAACAGCTGCTTGTTTATGCTGTTTACAGATTAACTTTCTAAGGGCATTCCTCACTATGTTAAGTGTACGATTGGCGTTGGGTACCATGCTTGGGGGTATTGATTACCCTGGTGGCTCACTGTAACGTGAGACCAGTATTGTAAGGAAAGGAGCCTAACGACGGTACGTCCACATGGCAGCGTGCGTTGAAGCTTGCCGGTGGGCGTGTCTGGCGTGCATTCATCTTTTGATTGGAATACAATTTTGCAGCCTGACATACCTTTTTTTTTTATAGAGGTTCAAGCAGCATAATATCCTGACAAATGTATCTGTACAAGAGCTTGCTATTCAACGCAAACACAATTAATGCAAAAAAAAATGCATGTTTCAAAGGTGCACTGATAAGAAGCACAACTTGGGTAAGGGATTTGTAATCTTGTTAAGACTAAAAAAAAACTTCTGAATTCAGTGTAAAATGCTGTGGATCATAGTCTCCAGCTCCTCGTCTTTTCACTTTCCTCCCACTTCTTCTCTCTTCTTTCTCCTTTCTCCCCCTTTCTCCCTCTCCCCCCTCTCGCTGATAGCAGTTATTAGTTTAGTCTTCTCCTGTTTGGGGGAGATAATGACACAGCAAAGCTTTTTGTGTCTATCAGTTTGCGTGTGGTTGTTGTTGCTCCCTGTCATTAAGCAGCCAGTCTGTGTGGTTAAAATGACACAGCTTCGACTGTTTGAAGCTGTGCCAGCTTTACCATCTGATCCCAGATCTTCCTCCAGCAAACAGGTCGGCCCCACATGCCTCAGTTCAGCCACCAAAGCTCCAGTGTAGGGCCCAGAGTCGGCAGGTTTTCCCTCTCAAATGCTGTTATGCACATATTCTACATCTCTGTCTGCATGGCAGAACAGAGTCCTACATAAACAGCATTTTAAGAGCATCTTCCATCTTTCCATTAATATTTGAAATGTTCAAAGATCTTCACAGATATTTGACCTACAGTATTGTACTTACTAGCTAACACAAATAACCAAACATATCACCACTGTATGAATAGAATACGATTTAAAAAGCATTTTGTTGTCTATACTGTAGATTTATGTATTTTCTTTAGACAGAATGTTCAGTAGAGATCATTCAAACTCAACTTTGAATGGTGTTAATGGTTGTATTTTATATAGTTATAGTGAGATTATTCTCCTTAGTCTTCTTCTCTGCTCGGATTCTTACCCTTTACACCTATAAAGTAAATACAAAATACAACATCACAGAAGTTATATCTGCCTCTGCTATGGCTTGGAATTACATATTGGCTGTATGTTCGGATATTTCTGATGACAACAAGTTAAGACGCAACAAAGATTATCCTAAAAATAAAGGACTGGAGGTAAATGAGAGGCACACTACAAAGATGCTAAAGATGAATTGGCTTAATAAATGCATTACATTTAGTTTGGAGAAAGTATCCCTATAGAGGTTAAATTAATACCTATTACCACTAGATGTCCTCGATCTGACATGAAGCTCTCTGATATGTATTCAGAATCTGATGAGAGAATCACAATGAGAAAGGAAAGAATACAAGCTGATGCAAATATCTTTGAACTCCATCAAATCGTACAGTAAATAAAACCCATAGGAATCCTCCGAAGTCATGAAAATGTTTGTATTAATAAATTAAAAACCCTTCATGATAAATGCAACCAACATGATTTTAGTGAAACAATGTAGTTATTTAGTTTCAAAGATTTTACATTTCTTAAAAAGAAGAGGAAATATAAGTGATCCTGCTGTTTTTTTTCTAGGTTTTTTGGGCGTGTTGAATGTGGACACATCTGCATGTGCTGCATCGGAATGCAAACTACATTGAGGCAGGTTTTAGCGTTAACAAATGTTATTCTGCAAAGTCAAAGTAACATTCTCTGTTTTATTATGTGTTGTCTTCTTGCTGTCCTTCTTGTTTCCTCCTCACCCTAAATCTTTTACAGTTACTGTAACAGTTCAATGGAATACTCAGTAGGTGGCGATGTCGTTTTAAATATTAGAGAGATCAGAGCTGAGCCTATCAGGTTCACTGTTTACTGTACTGGGTCAATACAAGACATTTGATTTCCAACTGTGGTTAAATGACTGAAGTACAACGTTTTTCAGGAATTACTTAGATAATATCTACAGGTAGAATTCAAAATAAATATTAATATTACAATTCCTGCTTTGAGTTTGTCACTGCTCTGTGCACCTTGGAAGTAGGTGAGTTGTTCTGGTAATCATTACTCTGCTTCTACTATCTTGTGACAATATACAAATATAAATGATCCTTAACATTTCCAAACGACAGCTTCAACACAACATCAATGGATTTTTTAATGTACTCTGTTTGTAATGGAACACTTTTAGAAATATTGTTACATTTTCAACCGGTCAGTTAAGCATTACGTTTTCTTTTTTAAATAAAAAAAGTTAACATTGGGTCTTCTACAGATACTATTTACAGATCAATATTTCAAATGTATTTCATTGTAATGTATTTGTTTTATAATTTTTTTACATTGTATTTTACAATATAATGTTGGTTCATAATTTAATTTAATTTTTTTACATTAATTAAAACATAATTGATTAAATAATTATTAGAATTCATTGTTCAATCTTTTTGAATTTTCTTTTAGATTCTATATTGTAATTTCATTTTTTCCTATTTTAGATTTCTATTTTAAACGTTGTGTTCTTTGTTTTAAGTGGCCGTATTGATGGTTTAAGTGGTATTATTTATGTTTTTATAAATGATCCTATTGATTATTGATAAGTGTGTATGAACGAGGCATACTGTTTTTACATGTTTCCTTTCCTAAATATGAATTATAAATAGCCTACTTATCTTTTAAATTCATTATATTTCTATGTCCATCTTAATTTTATTTAATCTAATTTGACCCTCTTTTTTCATTAGAAAGCCTCCTCAGCTGAGGGCGGGGCCAATTGGCGGCGCGTTCACGTCCCTTCAGGCTCGCGCCCTTGCAGCCACCGCCGCGTCTCGTGCACCAGCGCCAGTGAAGCAGCTCGCGCTCTCTGTGTAAAGTTATCGTGCTGTTTCCTGCTGTCAGTCCTCCCTGCTGCACCATGCGTCTCCTCCCGAAGACACTATGGGATGTACCCGCTCTGAGAAGACACTAACCCAGGGCTCTGCTGCTGCGTCCTCTCTCTGCTCTCCTTCAGCCGGGGAAACCCTGCCGCGCTACTCTGAGCGTTTTCATCCGCACCGCGCCGCTTTTCCTCTTTAATTTATTTGTTGCCTGCCGCTTCATTTATGGACCACAGAAGCTCCGAGTAGAGTGTTTGTAATTTTCGTTCACACAGCTGAAGATGGAGTCGGTGATGGAGAGGGAGTGCAGCGCGCTGGGGGGGCTTTTCCAGACTGTCATAGGAGACATGAAGGTAACATTATTATCATTTCCTCTGACTTGTCATTAAAACTGTTGATACCTCCAGCGCCTGTAAAATCTCCTGTTGCATGAAAGCAGGAAAAGCAGACATTTTATCCCATGTGAAATTTCAAGGCGTCATCGTTAATTTGCTAATTATCCAGGACGGGAGAAAGGGGGAGTGAAGTGGGTGTGTTCAGGGCCTGGTGCCTTCATTTCTGCAGTTTACTCTAACAAAATAAAGAGCCCACTGCATGTAAACCCAGATCCACACACAGCTAACAGGATGAATGACAGTGACAGACTGTTGCAGTGCTATCACAGAGCAATGTCTTACCTTAGCTCCATACGAAAACTATGAGTATTTTCAGGAATGTTTTCCAAGGTTTTTTTTATTACGACAGGGCTGTTAGTGACTGAGGATGGACTGGTTTGGATGATCCGATAGAGTCTTGCATATAATCTAATATAAATCTGCTTAGTTAAACTTTCTTATCCCCACATTATGTTGTGCAGCACCATAGAAGGAAGTTGGTCAGATACAGTAGTCAGTTGTCATGATTGGTTGATTTATGAATCAACAATCAAACATGACCTTGTTCCAGCTTCTTAAAGGGACCCTATTATGCTTCTTGGGGTGTGCCCTTTCCTATCGGGTGTTTATATTGGAGTTTTTCTCCCCCTGCCTGAAACGCCTCGATTGGACTCCTTTGTTTACTTCAATAACAAAGTGACATCACTATGTAACACTTGCACTTCAATTGGCTAGCGCTCGGCCACATTGTACGTGATAGGCTAAGGGGTGGGTCATCTCTACTGTAGGCAGTTGACCAATCATAACAGAGCCGGCCAGCTAACCAATCAGAGCAGACTGGGCTCTGGTTTCAGACAGAGGGTGAAAAGAGGTGCTGCAGCACAGGCAGTATGAGAAACATAAAGAGCTTTTTGAACATTAGAGCATGGAGACATGCCACAGTAGAGACACTACTGATATACACCTGAAAATGAGCAGAATGGGGCCCCTTTAAATGTGAGGATTTGCTGCTTTCCTCTGTTTTATTACTGAATATTGTTGTTGATCGGAAAAAATACGCATTTTTGGGGGCGCTTCGGTTAATTGTAATGGACGTTAGATATTAAGAAGAAAAATAACTATTAGATGATATTTTAGTCTATCAAATGGGAAAATATAAATTTGTTTTCTTATATGATAACGTTGGCTCTCGTTTGTATGCATACATATTTGGTTTGGCTCAGTTTGTTGTTTCACTGTCTGCCTTGTTGTACTGTAGCCTACTGTTTACTAAGTGTGTGTGGGTGGGCGTATATTACTCATATGGGGATATCAATCTTCCTTACACACTCACATTGTGGTGACTTATTACCCTCACCCAAATCAGAAAAGGGTCACATTTTGGTTAAAAAGCGAGTCAATATAATATCCTGTAAAGTGATTGAAACACAATTCAGTGTGTCCATGTGTGTGTCAGGGAGGTTTGAGTTTATATAGGAGTGTTTGAGGTTGTGTTAAACTAACCTCTGGATAAGTGAAGGTTTGGGTGTACTGGATGCATAGCAGGTAAGGGTCTGCAGCAGCCTCACAAAGTAACACACACAGCTGTTTCCCTAGTGACATAATAACAGACAGGTGTTTTCTAACAGGTGTGGTGGTTGGTTCACAAAGGAAGGTATGGGAAATCTGCCACACCCTCTTTCTCTACCTTCCCTCTTCTTTTCCTCTTCTTCTTTAATTCTTCCTCCTCTTCCACTCCCTTTCTTTTTGCTACTCCTCTTCGTCTTTTTCTGACGTGTACCTTTTCCCCTCTCTTCTCTTTCCTCTTTTCCTTCATCTTCTTGTTGTTGTCATGTTTTGCTACATAAAGCCCCACCTCCCTTCCTCTTCCTCCTGCTCCTCTTTCTCTTTTTGGTGTTCCCCTGCTTCTTCACCTTCTTCTTCATTTTCCCACTCCATTTTCAAGCACCCTTCCATTTAACTATTCTATCAATGTTCTTACTCCTCACTTTGCTCTCCTGTCATTTTCTATTTCTATGTATCTTCTTCTTCCTATTCCTCCTCATTTGTGTCTTCTTGCATTCTTGTTTTTCTCTTGCAATCTTCCTCTGCTTTTCTTGCGACCACACGTGTTCTTAATGTGTGTAAAGATTCACACCTGCGTTCTGTTGTTTGTTGTATTCACAAACATGGATGCTGCAGATGTGAGCTGTGAGAGATTCTGCATCGTGTATCTGAACAGAGTAGTCAGTTATGGCTGGTCCAAAGCAAGCTTATGTTAACTACTTTGAATACAGTTAGGTGGTTTCATGTATTATATTTCACAAGTTAATGAAATATATTATCAACAGGTTGAATTTGAATCTACAAGGTAACAAAGAACTGAAACTGTAGCGTATTTATAGTGGAAGAAAATGATAAAGTAGCATAATGAAGGCGTCTACTTAAGAATAAAGTTTTTGTTATTCAGTTTTACTCTAAAAAAAATCGGTAACACTTTATATTAAGGTACACAAATTAACCATCAACTAGTTGTTAATTAACATGCATATTAGCAGTGTATTGGCTCTTTATTAGTCATTATAAAACACTTATTAATGCCTTATTCTACAAGTAATAAGCCATTAGTTGAGAGTTTTTCCTCAATAACCCTCTAATTAGTGCTTATTTGTTGCAAGTAAGGAAGTTGTTGTACATGAGTTTTGGTCTTAATATGCTCTGCTCAATATGGGCCTAATAAGGCAGTAGTACCACAAGAATAGTAATTCTCCCATAATAACACTTAACAAATATGATCTATTCTTATGTAACAAGACATGAAACTATAAGTGTTAATTGTGTCTAAATAACTCAAAATGAGGTATTTATATCTAAGAACATGTTCCCTATTTTAAAGTGAAGTCTTGTTCATAACCAATAAGCTAGTAATTTGACTCTAATTGACCTGAACAGGTTCCCTATTCTAAAGTTGCCTCCTCTTCACACTTTGTAAATACATTATAGCACACAACTACTGAAATGAACCTCAACAGTACATGAACAAAGTAGGCCCATGTTCAAATATCTGTTTTATTAATGAACCACTAAAGAGAGGTTCAGACACATACCAAAACATGTCAAGTTTCTCCAAGGCTGAGAACACATATGCAGCCTGTACTTTTTAATAAAACTGATTTGATGTATTTGTGATCATACTGTGTGACCTGCTTGTATGTACTTACACAATAGGTGTACTGTTCTCTCTATGTGTTGTACTGTCTCAGTGTGAACATAGATTAAACAGCCAGCCAAACTCTTTTGAGAGCCAGGGAATGAGCAGCCATGCTCCTTTATTGACTTATTTGCAGTCCACTGACATTCAAACGGAGTGAAACTATAAAAAAAGAAGTTACAAGGCACTTAATAATCTCATACATGCAAGTGTAACATACACAGATTAACACATAGGACCGCTAAGTGTAAACAAGGTAAATATAGCTAATGCTAGCTGTGCAATAAGCATGGCTAACGCTAGCATGTATGCTAACGCTAGCGCGAATGCTAACGCATTTTCTCATTGTGTTTAAACATCTCCGAATGTCATCACATAAACACAATACATGTTACTAATCCTTACAGTGAGACTTACACTTACAGTCATTGCTTTATGACGGACTTGACCCTTTTACTCTTCAGGTGGCATAGGGAAAATTAGTAGCAGGTTCTTATTATACATCCATGGTCTACTGCCATGCTATTCAGTTCACTTTCTCCTACTTCCTGTACCCGGTTTCCTGTCTAACCTTCAGTACAAATTTCACAAAAATATAAATGTGCAAATATGAAACATACAGGTCAATATCACCTTGCTATTGGTAGCTGAATTGTCAATACCCCAAAACATATTCTTAGATATAAATACCTAATTTTGAGTTATTTAGACACAATTAACACTTATAGTTTCATGTCTTGTTACATGTCTTGTGTTATTATGAGAGAATTTTCTTGCATCTACTGCCTTATTAGGCCCATATTGAGCAGAGAATATTAAGACCAAAACTCATGTACAACAACTTCCTTACTTGCAATAAATAAGCACTAATTAGAGGGTTATTGAGGAAAAACTCTCAACTAATGGCTTATTACTTGTAGAATATGGTCATGTAGAATAAGGCATTAATAAGTGTTTTATAATGACTAATAAAGAGCCAATACACTGCTAATATGCATGTTAATTAACAACTAGTTGATGGTTAATTTGTGTACCTTAATATAAAGTGTTACCAAAAAATCCATTAAACACAAAAACCTACAATGTGTTAGAGCTTCTCTCAATACTTTCAGACTTCCTGTCTTTGGCCCTCAACTCCAAACCTATTGATTCTTAAGATAAATATTTTTTAACAAAACATACAGATAATAAAAAAAAGCTGGTTACTGTAGTTTTTAACATACATTCTGCAGGAATAAGCACGTTAAGGCGCATATTTTCAGCGGTGGATGAACGGTATGTGTAGGATTGAGTCAAAATAAAAGACAGTAAGTGTGCTCATGGTAAGGGAGATGCGCCCAGTGTAACAGTGCTGCTTATTGCCGTGATTTGAATATATGATTTTTTAACAATGTGGCTTAAGGAAGGCAGATACATTAGACTATGATACAACTTAAAAGTTATTCTTATAATATCTTTGATTGCTGTCTGAATACTACATTTTATTCAATCAAATGCAGCTACCTGTATACAGCGTGATGTTTCATTCATACATGTGACTCGCAGACAGCCAGATGCAGGTTTTCCCTTGTTAGCATAAACGTGTGGGTGGAGAGACTTCACTCAGGCGCCGTTTACACGAGGAGAAAACGGCTTGTATCTGCATAGTTTCGCGTGCGTATAGCCCTATTATTTAGACGAGGCCGATAGAAACTGACCACACAAACGATAACGGGTCCCAAGGTGGATCGATTTGCAAATGAAACGCTCTGGGGGGTCAACCGAGTCCGTTTAATCGCCTCTATACGAA